AGTGCATCACTCGAAACTGACTTTGCTTTAAATGGCATTGCTCAGAATTGGCTTCGTTTTAAATGCCTCGCTCAGAATTAGCTTTGCCATAAACAAACATTGGGAGAACCGAGGAAAGCCCCCTCCGCCGGGATCAACCAATCCTGAATATCCTGCCTGAAAATCAAGTGGATCCCAGACCCGAAGCATCCAAATCGATTTTCCGCTGGGTGGGATCCACCCTGCAAACTCACCGGTAGGCAAAGAAGGCTGTGAGGATGATGCCAAACAGGAGTAACGTCATCACGAGCGCCAAGATCTCCAGCAAGGAAAACGAGGCTGGGAGGGAGAAGGAAATAATAGTAACAACAACAACAACAACAACAACAATAATAATAATAATACCCAGCATAGTTATCTCATTTGCTGTGTACATTGTCATTTTTGTGTATAACAACAACAAAACAACAACAACAAAATAATAACAACAATAACAATAATAATAAAAACAGAGGAAGAAGATTCGTATGAAACCGATCCCAATTTTGTGGCACCGTGATCAAAATTTGAACCAATGAAAAGCAAACCCCAAATCTTCCAAGCCGGCTCAGTCAAGGTGGTTTAAATCCCACCCCACAAACCAGCCTGAATATATATATCTATATCTGATATTTGATATATCTTGATCCCTGGCCCCAGTTCACAATTCCAGTGGAAGGGAGTTCCGCAACCTAGCGCCTCAAACCCATTTCATGCACTTCCTCTCCCCCAGCTGCACCTTTCTGGCAAAGCGGATTTTCATTTTCAAACCCGCAAAAGGGCACCTCCCTCGGAACGGCGTTGCCTGGCCAGTGGATCTTTTTCCCAGGGATCGTTTCGATCTTCTTGGTGGTCCCGTTGTAAATGGCCACGACCTGCAGAGAGCGAGAAAAAGCAGAAGGGAAAAGAGGATTTTTTTAAAAAAATTATTATTATAATTATTTGGGACTTGGGTAACCTTAACTCAGTGTTTTCTCAGCCTTGGCGATTTTAAGAGGGGTGGACTTCAACTCCCAGAATTCCCCAGTCAGCCATTGGACTGAGGGATTCTGGGAGTTGAAGTCAGCAAGCCGACTGGGGGATTCTGGGAGTTGGCATCCATCCATCTTAAAGCAAACTGGCTGGGGTGGGGAAATCTGGGAGTTGAAGTCCATCCATCTTAAAGGATGCCGGCTGGGGGATTCTGGGAGTTGAAGTCCATCCATCTTAAAGCATGCCGGCTGGGGGATTCTGGGAGTTGAAGTCCACCCATCTTAAAGCAAACTGGCTGGGGGATTCCACTAACCTCAAACACTCCGCTGGCCGGATCCAGATCCCAGAGGGAGTGATCCATTTCCCGGTCTCCGTTCTGATCGATCCGCAGGAGCCCCGTGATTCCTGCAAGGCAGGAGAATTTTGTTTCAAATCAATAAATAAATTAGAATAACCCCAAACCTTCCAATGTCAGAAATGTCCACCTGCAAGGAGACCCCAGGAGGGTCTCTCCAACCACAAATTAGCCTTTTAAAACATCTCCATTTTAAGATGATGAGGTAAAATACGGATCGATTCAAGAATGTCAAGAGGCCAAAAGGAGAGTCACTGCTCTAGGAGGTCGCACTATCAGCCGGGTGTGTGTGTGTGTGAGACTGGATGACCTCCCAGGTCCCTTCTGACAGATTCTAAGCCTGTTTTCCATTAGAGACCTCTAGTGGGGTCGCACCATCAACCCAAGGGTCAGGTTGCATGGCCTTCCAAGGTCCCTTCTGACAGATTCTAAGCCTGTCTTCCGTTAAGACACCTCTAGTCTAGGAGGTGGTCGCCCCATCAGCCGAGGGTAAGGCTGGATGGCCTCCTGAGGTCCCTTCTGACAGATTCTAAGCCTGTCCTGCATTAGAGACCCCCAACTCCCCCCCCCCAAATCCAGGGAAACCTCACCCGCCTCAATTATAGACTCGGACAGCGGATTGGTGCCACCCCGAAATATTTCCCCCCCTCCCATCTTAAGGATGGAGAAGCAACCTGGGCCCGTCTGAAGGATCTCTAATTCTCCCATTCCACACACACCCCCAAAATGTCCCCCTCCTCAGCAAAATCCCACCCGCCCACCTTTAAGAAAAAAATACTCAGGGCCTGCAGAGATATACCAACCTTGAAAAGTCCGGTTACGCATCTGGAGCGTGATGGCCAAGCCGTCGGTGATAGAGCCGCCCAGCGCCAACGTCTCATTTACCGCCTGGCCGTAGAGCATGACCCCGTCGTAAAAAGCCCCCACGATGAAATCTTCCTGGAAAATTCGAGAGATTTTCAGGGTCCAGGGGGGTGGTGAAGTGGGAAAGGTGGGAGAGGGCTGGACTAGAAGACCTCTAAGGCCCCTTCCAAGTCTATTATTCTATGTTTTACGTCGCCGCCGTCCTCCTTACCAGTCCGTCTTCCATGGTGAAGTTAAACTGCTCCTGGGAGGTTCGTTTGATGTCCTGGAGAAACGAGTGGTATTCCGGATTTTGGGGTTCGGTGTAAGTGATGAGCATGACAGCCTGGGGGGGGGGGGGGGGAAAAGGGGAGCAGGACAAAATAACGTAACCCCGATTTTTTTGGGGGGGGGGGGAGCGGAGTTATTTAGCATCATTAACTCGAGCCCACCAGCCTGTTTCGAGACACTTCTGGGAGATGGACTACAACTCCCATCCTCCCTCCCCGACAGCCGAGGCAGTGGGAGTTCCGAAACCCCCCAAACCTTGGGGACAACTGCCCCCTTTTTCCACCCCACCCCACCCCCACTGTTCCATGGGGTCAGGTAGACTTCCCCGACCCATGGAGGCTCCACGGAGCTGCCGTTGTGCAGATATAATCATCCGTAGAACAGTAGAAAGGAGGGGAATGAAGAGATCATCCAATCCAACCCCGTGCCTGGGCCACAAGTGGGTGGTCCTCGGCTTATAAATACTCGGGTAGACTTCCCCGACCCATGGAGGCTCCATGGAGCTGCCGTTGTGAAGATATAATAATCCATAGAAAGGAAGGAAATGAAGAGATCATCCAATCCAGCCTGGGCCACAAGTGGGTAGCCCTCGACTTATAGCTGTTCGTTTAGCGACCAAGAGGCAAACACGAGGACGATGACTTCGAGATGGCCGAGAAAAAAGCATCTAAATTTAAGGCTTTTTGCCCCTCATGGCGTTTCCTTGGGTTTTTCCAGAAATGCCTCTTTCCTGGGCCTTCGTTTATTGCCGGCAGCTCAGCCTGATATACTGCCCCTGAGGCTGGAGGTTCTACGGAACGAGGAACGGAAAAACTACCACGGATCAAGCCTTTCCAGAAATGGTCTGGGACCCGTTTGAAACTCTTTCCGGCTTCTCAAACTGCTTCTCCCGCTCCCCCAAAACGGCCCCCTTTTTAAGTTTTAATTTTTAACTTGAAAAGAGCAACTTTTAGCTCAAACTTTTATTAATAGCGGCAACCTGCCCGACTTCAGCATCCGGACAATTTATCTCCCTTCCTTCCTTCCTTTCTTTCAAACAAGGCCGGAGGAGAGAAAAGCAGGCGAGCCCCTTTCGGTCACTCCACAACCCCTCGTCCCCGGCCTGCCCCCGCCCAAAGCAGGAACTCGAATTCAAGACCCCTTGATTGCATTGAAGTTTTCCTGCAGGGTTGTTTTTTTTTTAAGGGGGGGATTTGCTCCAGAATCTTTAGAGTAGAATTGAGCTGGAAGGGACCTTTTCAAACAAGTAGCTGTCCCATGTCTTCTTGAAAAGAAAGGAAGGAAGGAAGGAAGGAAGGAAGGAAGGAAGGAAGGAAGGAAGGAAGGAAGGAAGGAAAAGTGGGAGGAAGGAAGGAGATCATGGATGGAAAGAAGGAGATAATGGAAGGAAGGAAGGTGATAATGAAAGGAAGGAAGGAAGGGAAAGTGGGAGGAAGGAAGGAGATCATGGAAGGAAGGAAGGAGATAATGGAAGGAAGGAAGGTGATAATGAAAGGAAGGAAGGAGATAATGGAAGGAAGGAGATAATGGAAGGAAGGAAGGAAGGAGATAATGGAAGGAAGGAAGTAGATAATGGAAGGAAGAAAGGAAGGAAGGAGATGATGGAAGGCAGGAAGGAGATAATGGAAGAAAGGAAGGAAGGAGATAATGGAAGGAAGGAAGGAGATAATGGAAGGAAGGAAGGAGATAATGGAAGGAAGGAAGGAGAGAATGGAAGGAAGGAAGGAAGGAAGGAGATAATGGAAGGAAGGAAGGAGATAATGGAAGGAAGGAAGGAAGGAAGGAGATGATGGAAGGCAGGAAGGAGATAATGGAAGAAAGGAAGGAAGGAGATAATGGAAGGAAGGAAGGAGATAATGGAAGGA